ATTAACATCTCCAATACCCGTGATCTCCAGGGATTTGTCATCCGCCAAACGAACTCTTTCGCTGTAGGGCCTGAAATTTTGCATCAAATCCCTGCAATGACATGCATGAAACGACGCACCTGAATCCATGATCCGGGACTCAATTGAATTCTCAACGCTGCAAATTAGGACATCTTCATAATCCTCTGCCACGTTCACCTCCTTCTTGCCTTTGTCTGCAGAGGCTTTGGGGCACTGATTTCTGAAGTGTCCATTCTCCTTGCAATTCCAACAATTGATGTCCTTCCTGTTCTTGGATTGACCTCTCTTTCTCGACTTTGATCTTCCTTTCTTGTTACCTCCTTTAGTAGATTTTCTGCCCCTATCTTCAGTACTCAACAAACGGTTTGAGCTATCCCCCGAACTCCTCCTCCGGATATCCTCACCAAGGATCAAGTCACGAATACCCTCAAAGGTAAGTTTAGTGGTTCCAGCCGAACTACTAACTGCTGTGACTGTACCGGGCCAACTATCGGGCAAAGATGATAACAAAAGTAATGCTTGAACTTCATCATCAAATTTAATCTCAACCGAACCTAACCTGGATATGATTGAATTAAACTCGTTGACGTGATCTGTTACGGCTGCACCTTCCTTCATTCTCGTGTTCACCAACTGTCTGATTAAGAAAACCTTGTTGGCCGCTGAGGGTTTCTCGTACATGTTGGATAACGCCTTGAGTAGTCCAAACGTTGTTTTCTCGTTGACGATGTTGTAAGCAACGTTTTTCGCCAACGACAACCTCACCACACCAAGAGCCTGTCGATCCAGCAAATTCCACTCCGCCTCCGCCATTGATTCTGGTTTGTTCTCATACAAAGGTAGATGAAGCTTCTTCTGGTAGAGATAATCCTCGATTTGCATCTTCCAGAAAGCAAAATCTTGACCATCAAATTTATCGATCTTAACCTTCCCTTCGTCAGTCATAGCTCTGATACCACTTGTTACGATTTAGGTCAAGTAAATGATAAATTAAAGAGCAAGAACACAAGAATTTACGTGGTTCACACAATCGGGGTGATTGTGCTAGTCCACGGCGAACGAGAGAGAGTTGTGTATTATTATGTCGACGTCAAGAGGTCTTACACGTACAAAGTTGTGTTTAAATAGGTTTAAGAAAACCTAAACAAGGATTAGAGCCGTAGGCCCAAAATTAAGCCCGTAATTAAAAAATTACTCCGTAGACCCGGTAGGGTCTCCTATTGTACCCGGTCGGGTGTCTCCTCAAAAGGCATACCCGGGTCGAAACCAGGGTGGGTATCCTAAACAGAGGCCAAAACCTTCCACAGACCCGGTCGGGTAAACCTCCTTACCCGGTCGGGTCTCCAAACCAGTGAGTTGCCCGGCCAAGTTCACATCATATACGGTCGGGTAATTCTCCTTACCCGATCGGGTTTCCAATCGAGAGAGGTTCCCGGCCAAAAACTGCCTCATACCCGATCGGGTGACTGACCCTACCCGGTCGGGTATCTCCTGCTGCTGTAGAAACAAGGCTCCACCTTCAACACTTTCTTTTCCTTTTGGTGGTGATATCATGCATCGATTCATGTTAGCTGACCCCAATATCTTTTACGACTAAGGCTTGGATGTTGTTGTTTGTTGTTGGAAATTTTAAAAAATGATCTCTTTTTTGTCAACTTTCTACTTTTTAGCAAAATTAAGCTCAAAGCCTATATTTCATAAATATTTTGTTATCAATTTTCTATCCCGTGCAACGCACGGGTAAAAGACTAGTATTAACTAATGAAGGAGCTTGTGCCAAAGTCCATGTCAATCTGAAATTTTATAGTAGTGCGTTCAATAAGTTAGAGATGGATTTGTAATTAATAGCAATAAGTTACAATGATAACAAAAGTGCAATATAGTTATTTAAGTCTAACACTTAAAGTGCATTATAGTTATTGCAGAACTATTGCTTTTTTTACCTTAGCTTATTGAGAAACAAAAAAGGTTACACTTTTTTTGTCCATCATTCACACACTTTGTTTATATACACAAACAAGATGTTTGTATACAGACCATTAGTCCGAAAATACAGCAATCGTTTGTACACAGAGAACTTTATGTGTCTATACACAAAAAGTGTGGGAGTGGTGTATAATAATGTGTACACCAAACATTTTTCATCGGGAAAACAATGAAAATAATTTGATTTATTTGTATGATTATTGACCAATACATACATCAGATTCTTTCACTGACCACATGTATACCTTGATTTACGCGTCCAATTGCTTTTATTTATTTATATATTTATTTATTTAATTATTTATTTATATATTTATATATATTCATTCATTCATTCATTCATTCATTCATTCATTCATTCGTTCGTTCATTCGTTCATTCATTTATTTTTCATTGTATAGTAACTAGATTCTTGGTTTGATGACTTTGTAGCTCTATATTTCTTCCAAAGCATGGTCTTTTGAGTCATTTCTTCTCTAGGGGCGGCCCTGGAGGCTGGTGGTTGGGGCCCTAGGCCCACAAAATTTCAAAAAAAAAAACAGGCCTTATTTTTATCCTTTGTAATAGGTTTGTGTAGACTGAGTTTCCAATCGTAATCTATTCCTTTTGTCTGGACGAAACCCTAATTTCCCAAACATCCAAGAATAGACATGTCACTCGCCTATTGCCAAGTTCATTCGCAAATCACAAATTAAATGTCATTCGCAAATTGTCAGGCTACCACTCGCAAACTGGTGTTTTTCCGTATTAATGTTAATTAATTAATTATTTACGAAAATAGGAGTCGGTTAAAAGTATTTACCAATATACTGCTGTGTTAACCATGGTCAGGGTAAATCGCCCAACGGTTGGGCGATTTTCCATTAAGTAAAAACATCGGTCACCACAAAATGAACGACGAAAACCAAGCCCCAAATCCCCCAAGCCGCAGCGACGAAGGATGAAGGACGAACGATGACCGAGCCATTTCCAACTCCGGCGAACCTCCATCTCTGGCGACCCCACTCCGGCAAACCTTCAGAATGAGAACTAGAGCATAAAACATCGCGTTGAACGGCTTTTTGGACCAAGAGGATGACGTTCTGCCCATAATTCGAGTATAACGTATTGTAGAAAATTCGAAATCACTCGATTCGAATTTCATGTGAATTTCAACTCAATAAGGTACAAATGTTATGCAGACATCACGGCCAGAATATGAAAGGATCAAGACTCAATGAACCAATAAAGTCAGATGTTGCTGGTGGAATTTCCGGATGCATACCTCTCAATGTTTTATCCATATCTTTTGATTGGATGAATGAAATCACGTCATTAAGTTTTGGTGGATAGACGACTTCATTATCTACAACTTTGGTGAAGGAATCATGTCCAAACTCGTAGCGGAACATCCCCAAAATCCCCGGAAAAACCCGGCGTCGGAAGTGCACCAAACCGGCGCCGGTTGCTTGTAAAAATTGCGACGCCGGAATTGCCGAAACACAACCGGCGCCGGTTAACCCCAAACCGGCGCCGGTTACCCCAAATATGCAGAAAACCAGACGACGTGCTTGAATATTTTGAGTTGATTTGAAGATTTTTGGAAGGTATGGCTTGGAGATTTCATCCCAAGTTGATTGAGGATCATGAATAGACCATCAAAGATCATTTCCAAGCCTATAAATCCTTCAATTCATCCCAAATTCATCATCCAATCTCAATTTAATTCATTAATTCATAACTAGTTTTTATAGTTTTTCTTTGTTATTCATGGTGTTCTTGAGGTGTGGAAGCTCATTTCTTCCAACCATTGATGTTTAGGTAATATTTCTTTTATATTTGCATGTTCTTCTACATTCAAAGTATTGTAATTTTGATATATATGAGCGTCAGAGGCTAATTCCTTAAGCCAAGGCTTGGGATGAACCACTACGCGTGCTAGTTTTTGATATTTGTTCGAAGTCAAATTTTATGATTTATTCTTCTTATGTTTAATTTTCTATAAATGTTATGCAACATAATAGTATAATACATGTATTGATATGAAATAACTAACGTTATGAAATATCAATTGGACACTAGAAGAAGTATTTCGGGTTTTACTCTCTTTAAACTAATTATATATAATTACGTTGCATAACATCTAGAGGTTTATATGGTCAATTAACGTTGCAATATAAATCGTTCTCTAGAAGAATAAACATACAAAGTATTGAGGATAGAAATATACCCGATCTTGTATGGTGCGTGTATGGATGGTATCTTAATATTCAGCGGGGTTTTCTCTATATGAATGTGAGCCGTAACGGGACTCATCACACGTAGCGAAACCACGCTCTCACTGCCTTAACTGGAGCCGGGAATATAATAGCGATACCGTACTCATAAAAATTGACAAAGAACTTTTATTGAATTCTAGTTAATGTTTGGGTGAAACCCGATGCCTTGGTCATTTTATCATATATTCACTTAAACAAACAAAAATCCCTGCGTTTTAATTACTTTTATTCTCTCTTTTATTTCTCAAAACCGAACTTTACAGAACGACGTTTCCTTGCAGATTCGACCTGATATTTTACCTGAATTTATTACTACATCGGCACTTGTATACTTTATTGATTGTATTTAAAAAGTAAGTATACTTTATATGATAACTTTTTTTAGTAGAAGATTTAAGTGATGGATTGGAAATTGTAGAATGGTCTATTTGACCCCTTCCCCAATATTGAAATTTAATATTCCCATAATATTACCCATTATAATATGCTACTTAATTATATACTCCGTAGGATGCCAAAACTGTCTAGGGAAGATTGACTCAAAAAACCATGCCTTAGCTTAAGGAATAAATATAGCTTGCTAGAAAACCATATCGTTAAACCATACGTAGTAATAATTAAATAAAAGAAAGTGCCCAAATTAATCAAGGTATACCTGTGGTCAAAGAAAGAATTTGGTGTCTTTTTGGTCATATAAATACGTCCCATCGTTAATATTTTCTCATCAAGCTGATATATCAAAGCAAGCTATACGGCATAAAAACACACTTGTCCGTAAGTAAATATTTTTAGCAAGTAATTAGGAAATGGCGGAAGGCAACGAGGAAACTCCGCCATTTTATAACTATGAAGATTTAACTCCAGAATGGACAGTGAATATAGGGCCTATATATGATACTCTCATACTTCATTTACCAGCTGGTCAGTTTTATTCATTTTCGATTTTTAGTAAACTAACACCAGGTTAAAAATCTAATCCCTACTACACTACAACATCATTTAATATTACCTCCATTCTTAAATAAGTGTAACAATCTATTTACCTCGGGTCTTAAATAAGTGTAACAAACTAACAATCAACTTTTCATGTTGACAATGCACAACTTTGAACATTAGTAACTTTGAACATTTACAATGAATTGTAAATGGGTGACGTTATTTGTAAAAAAATGACATATATTTAATTAAATTTAAAAAATAAGTATGTTCATATCCTTGGCTGTAGGAAACGCCGTATATAATTTACGGGTATTAGCTCTTAGTAGGAGTAAAATAAGCCCAAAATTCAACAATAGGAGTACAATTCTTTTATTCCCAAAATAGGACTAATATATGTCTATTCTTCTCATTCTGCCCCCTTCATATGATTTCCAATAGATTTAATTTATTAATAAGGAAATCATAGTTTTATTTATTATAAAATATAAAAAATAATAAAATATTTATAAAATAATAATGAAAACGTGAAAAAATAAAATAAAAAAAAAAAAAAATAATAATACTCCGTAAATAAATTTTTTTAAGTTGTTTTAAAAAGTTCAAAAAATAAAATAAAATACCTAAAAAAATTAAAAAAATATGTAGGTCACTGCCAACGCGTCCTCTACCTCCCAGCACCACCGACTCCGGTTGCCAGAAAAAATGCCATATTGTGTAAAAAATGTCACATTTCTCTGAAAATGCCATAAAGATCGGCATTTTTACTCTTTGAAAATATCCAACTTTCTCTTGCTTTCTCTTCAAAATTGTCATCATGATGACATTTTTTCTCCAACTTGGCAATTTTTCCGGCGACCGAAGGTGGCGGTGATGGAAGGTAGCTGAGGTGGTGGTTGGGGTCTATATATTTTTTAATTATTTTTTACGATTTTTTTATTTTGATTTTTTTATATTTTATAATGATTGTTTAAAAATCCTATTATCAAGGACAAATGAAAGGGTAGAATAGGAAGAGTTAGTCCTATTTTGGGAATTTAAACTTTAAACTCCTTTTGTTGCAATTATCCTTTTATTTACTCTTATTTAGGTAAATCTCCCTATAATTTAATGTTTTGGGTTATATTTGTTATACGTAGTATTATAATTACCCGGTGAATGAGGTTTCAATTCAATAAGAAGTATTTAGGTGAAAAATGAGCATGAATCTCAACTGTTTGATTCCATTATGTTGTAGTAAAAAAAACTTCATGTTGCTTTAAAATATACAACTTAGCAGGGAGGCATTTTTGCAAATACTTCTGAAAAATTCATACTCCCTTCGTCCCACTGGACTTTGCCAACTTTCCTTTTTTGTTTGTTCAAAAAAAAAATTCCACTTTCCTTCTAAAGCAATGTTTTTGTGCCTCTGTTCATTTCTCTCTACTCTGCACAAACCTCAGCCACAAAAAATTTACTATTCTAATTTCCCACCTAACATCAACTTGGCAAAGTTGAGTGTGATTGAGGTAATATTAAATTTGTCTAGTGCAACATGAAATTGTTCTGGTGCATCACCATCAAAGTTTAGTGCAATATGAAACAGTTTTAGCTTGACTTTACAAATGAAACAGTTTTAGCACGACTCCGTGTAATGAATTTAATGTTGCAGGTTTCACAAAAGATAATGTAAGCATTGGAGTTTCAATCAAGGAAGGTGAAGAGAAGTTTGTGACCATCAGTGGACATAAGTTGGGTGAAGACAAAAAGTGGTTGCGATTTTACAAACAGTTCAAGGTTTCCATTAACTGCGATTTGAGTAGAATGTATGCTACATTTGAAAATGATGAGAAAGATCATCGGCTGCGTCTGCTGCAATTCAAACCCTCAGCGATGGAAGAAGAAGAAGTATTTGCAGTTGTGGATGATGTAGATCCCGCCGCCATATTAGCTTACATGGATCATTTTCATGTCCCACGCTTTGAACATACTGAAGGAGTTCATGCAGATGCTATCACCATTGATATACCCCCTGGTACCAAAGATGATGACGTAGCCGTAGAGGTCAAAAATGGTTATCCGTACATCGCCATTACTGCACATAGACCACGGCGAGGCGGGAGGATATCTTATGTAAATGAAGTGTATAATCGGCCGTCCAGATTTAGGGGGTGGGTTCGGTTTTTCTCATATCTAGGCGGTCATGGTTTTCTTCGGTACGATATGAGCCGATCCGAAATTAAAATCGAAAAAGGTGAGATCCATGTCACCCTACACAAACACGTCATCCCTGCTGCCTCCGTTGATGGTTCTGCGGCACAACAGAAGGAGATGGTTGCAGATGATTTGGATGGCCCAAAAAGTATTGTTGAAAAGATTGAAATCATGGAAGACTATACGGCGGAAGAAAGTGTGCCCACCGCCGCACAACTTGATAAAGAAGAGCCAAGAAGAATGAGGATGATGATGACGACTATAGTTGTTCTTTTCGCTATTGGGATGGCCGGGTTGTTTGTTAATAAAAGAACGTAGTAATAATAATTACCGGGAATAATGAACATTTATTAATTATCTATTATTTCTCACTCATTATAATGTACTCGCAATGTTGAGTTATTACGCATTTACGCACTATATATTGTGAATGTTAAAAGATAGAAACATTTTTAAGAATCAGATCCAAACACTTCTCGATCATCAGCATGGCATTATAAGGGTAATTAAATGACTAAAATGAATCGAAGAAAATATAATTAAAAATTACTAGTAATATACTTGTACAAATTAAACAAACACAATAAACTAATTAAAACAACTCCGCCATGATATCATTTTTTTTGTATCATGTCTGTCCCAAGCCAGGATAAAGGAGGAGGGTGTTGTGGTAGGCGTGTGACGGCCAACAGTATCACTTAGTCACATCACATGACATGAATCGAAATCTTAATATCGTTAATGCTAGGTCGTCACCTGTAAGTGACGCGTCATCCCTCTGCATGGGGGTGGTGTCAAATATGCAAGGGCGCGCTACACTTCATAGACCTGGGTGTGGTGATAAGAATGCTAAGGTTGTTAGGTCGCCGCCCGGAAGCGGCGCATCATCCCATTGCCCGGAGATGATGTCAAATATGCAAGGGCATGGTGGGGTCCGAGATGGGGCTAAGAACAGAAGGTGGAGTGCTAGATTGCATTTTGGGACATGGAATGTTGGGTCTCTTACAGGCAAATCTTCCGAGGTAGTCGAGGTTATGAGGAGACGGAATATCAGCATTATGTGTGTGTAAGAAACTAAATGGGTTGAAGAGAAAGCACGCGAGATTAATCCCGGAGGTTTTAAGTTGTGGTATTCAGGGAGAGATAATTAAGACCAGAAATGGGCTAGGCATTATTGTGGTACGTGACTATGTTGAGGATGTGGTAGAAGTCTTCAGGAAGAACGATCGCATCATGAGCATGAAATTGGTGATAAGGGGTGAGATTGTGTCTGTGGTAAGTGCCTACGCACCACAAGTGGGATTGGATGCATCTACAACTCAACAGTTCTGGAAGATCTTGAAGACGTGGTGCGACGAGTGCCAAGGGGAGAGAAGTTGCTCATAGGAGGTGACCTCAACGGGCATGTGGGCTCGAGTCGTGATGGCTTTGAGAGTATTCATGGAGGACATGGTTTTGGCACTAGGAATGAGGCGGGAAAGAACATTTTGGTATTTGCCTTGATGTATGAGTTGACTATAATGAACATTTGGTTTAAGAAAAGAGACTCTCACCTTTTAACCTATAAAAATGGAGCTAATAGTACCCAAATTGACTACTTCTTAGTACGGACCACTTGGAGAACTAGTTACACTGATTGTAAGGTTATTCTAGGTGAGAGTGTTGCCACTCAGCATAGGATGCTTGTGCTTGAATTTCGAGGTAAGAACCATAGAAAACAAGTTAAACAACAAGTGGAACCAAAGATAAAGTGGTGGAGGCTTGAAGGAGATCTTCAACAAAGCTTTACACACAAAATGGTCGGTGAAGATGTATGGTGTATTGATAATGAAACACATGTGGATGATGTATGGTTATCAATGGAGTTGACCATTAACAAAGTGGCAAAGGAGGAACTTGAAGAATCTAAAGGATGTCTGCCACCTAAAAAGGACACATCTTGGTGGAATGATGAGGTGAAACAAGCCATAAGGAACAAAAGAGATTGCTACAAAAAGTTGAGGACAAGTTGGAGTGATGAGAACATAGAAGCATACAAGGAGGCTAAAAGACAAGCAAAGAAAGCCGTAAGGGAAGCACGAGGGAAAGTGAACAAGGAGTTGTATGAAAAGTTGGACTCTAAGGAAGGAGAACTAGATATTTATAGATTTGCTCGTCTTCGTGATCGCAGGACTCAAGATATTGCAAAAGTTAAGTGTGTGAAGGATGTCGATCAGAGGATATTAATGGACGACGGAGAGATAAAAGAGAGGTGGAGGTCATACTTTGATACACTATTCAACGGGAACAAAATGCAAGATATCGGTGATTTTTCCATACCAGATTGTATGGTAAATCGTGATTTTGTGAGAACGATCCAAACAACGGAAGTTAAAGAAGCTCTGAGGAAGATGGGACGGAAGAAAGCAATGGGGCCAGATGGCATACCGATCGAGGCTTGGAGAAGTTTGGGAGAGAGAGACGTCGAGTGGTTAACAAGTTTCCTCAACATGATTTGGAGAAACAACAAGATGCCAACGAGTTGGAGGAAGAGTACTCGTATCCCCTTATTTAAGAATAAATGTGATGTACAAGAATGAGCCAACTATCGAGGGATTAAGCTTATGAGTCACACCATGAAACTGAGGCCATTCACCTTCTTCGGCAACTTATGGAGAAGTATAGAGACGCTCATAAGGATTTGCATTTGGTGTTCATTGACTTAGAAAATGCATATGATAGGGTACCTCGAGAAGTTCTTTGGTGGGCCTTAACTAGGAAAGGCATATCACGCAAGTATATCAGCATCATCATGGATATGTATGAGGATTGTACTCCAAGTGTCCGTACTAGTGTAGGGAGGACTGAAGAGTTCCCTATTACTATCGGAGTGCACCAAGGATCGGCCTTGAGTCCTTTCTTATTTTCCATAGTCATGGATGAACTTAAGAAGTCAATTCAAGACGATATACCGTGGGTGCATGATGTTTGCCGACGATATTGTATTGATTGATGAGACGCAATCAGGTCTTACAGCAAAGTTGGAGGTATGGCGACAAACATTGGAGAATAAGGGTTTCAAACTAAGTCGGAGCAAGACATAGTACATGGAGTGCAAGTTTGGTGAAGGTAGAAGCAGTGGTAATAGCGGAATTACTCTGGATGGTAAGGAGATACCAGTCAGCGATATGTTCCGTTACTTGGGCTCCATAATTCAGAAGGACGGTGAGTTAGATGGAGATGTATCCCATAGAATCAGAACAGGGTGGATGAAGTAGAAGAGTGCGTCAGGATTTCTATGCGACCGAGGTATGCCGACTAGACTGAAGGGTAAATTTTGTAGGACAGCAATTAGGCCTGCATTACTGTATGACGTAGAGTGTTGGGCGGTGAAACAATGTCACATTCAAAAGATGAGTGTGACAGAGATGCGCATACTGCGTTGGATGTGTAGGCATAATAGGAAGGACCGCTTGAGGAATGAGACAATCAGACAAAGGGTGGGAGTAGCATCTATTGAAGACAAGATGCGGGAGTCGCGCCTACGATGGTTTGGTCATGTGCGTAGAAGACCGAGTGATGCACCTGTCAGACGAGTTGAGATGTGTGGTGAAGAAGCAGGGAAGAGAGGGAGAGGAAGACCCAAACAGGCGTGGGTTAGGGGAGTTCGAAGTGATATGCTTCTTCTGGGGTTGGATGAGGGCATGACTTTGGAGAGAACTAAGTGGAGGGCGGGTATTCGCGTGGAGGAGTGATATCGTATAATCTTTTTCCTGCATCTTTTTTTCCTTGTTTTTTATCCTTATATATATAAGCATTATTTGTAGCCATTTTATTTTATCATTTTTATGTATATTCATCTCTTTTATATTATCTTTTTATAATAGTTTATCTTTTTTATCTTTATTTTCTTTCTTTTCCTTTTGGTTGTGATATCATGTATCGATTCATGTTAGCCGACCCCAATATCTTTTGGGACTAAGGCTTGGATGTTGTTGTTGTTGTTGTTGTGATAAATTAATTAAAAATTTAACAATTTGAAAAGGAAATTAAATAAAACAAAAAGAAAGAAGAAACACCAGTACCTATATCATACATCCGGGTGTATGTACACCCGGCCCAAGTAAGGAAGACAACCCAATAATTAAGACAGACCAATTTTTTTCGGTGGCATTTTTGTAATTTAAGCAAAAAATCACGGCTTCCGGTAAATGAGTACTCTGATCTATTGTATTGAGTATTAAGAGGCCAACAATGAGTATTCCTCTGTCCGTTATAAGTGCCCCGTTTTACCTTTTCGGGATATCCCACTAAGATTGTCTCATACCAAATTTCAAGATATGAAGCAAATATCGTGATACTTATTGTTATTAAATTATATGTATAATACACTCCTATTAATTTCAATACGCGAGTCTAATGTACATAGATATGAAAATCACGACATTTTAATTAAACATCAAACCTCCGTTATTGAGATGAAAATCACGGTTTCTGGTGAATGAGCATTAATGAACTTTTAATGAGCATCTGACCTATTATGTTCAGTATTATGAGTCTAATATTCAAAATCATGATCTCTGCTTCATAACTTCTAATTCACTTTCTTTTTGTTATTTTTTCTTTTACAAAAAGTTATTATATTATACTACCCATGTTCCTATTATAACTTCCAAATAGGTTTGGCACACAATTTAAGATAGTGGGTATTGTATGGTGGAGAGTTGTGCAGAGGAGAGAGAAATGTGTAAGAAATGTTGTGAACCACAAATTCTTTACTCAAAAGGGAAAGTGGAAGTTTTATTTGGAACGGACGAAAAAGGAAAGTTGGAAGTTTTAATAGGAACGGAGGGAGTATTTATGATCAACTCCTATGAATTTCAATATGTGAATCTAATGTAAAATAGTACTTTTAAAAAATGCATTGATAATGTGAATCTAATGTAAAATAGTACTTTTAAAAAATGCATTGATATGACATTCAGAAAATAAACATAAGATGAGTACCAGATGAACATACGTAAGTTACAAAATGCGCATTGATATGAAAATCGTAAGGTTTGTTAGTTGAACATCACAACATTTTCATTGTGTATTAGAATCGTGTGATTGAGTATAATGATTTGTGGTCTCGTGTCTATAATCAACTTCTATGTGAATTTAATGTAATATGAGACTTTTGAAATATGCATTTGATGGAGTATATGGCCCGGGAACCCCCGGCCCACAGACTCCTACTACTCCAATAAAGGCCCAACAGGCCCAGAGAGCACAACAAGCCCAAATCACGGCGCCCAGAGTACCAAGCAGCCCACAAAGCACACCAGGGGGGCCTTCGGCCCCCTAGCCGAGGGCTCTAACTCTCACAGGAGGGCCAGGATAGCAAAACGAAGTTACTGGGAAAAACGGCGAAAGGCAGTAGCCCTCGGCAACTGGA